CAAACGCAGCAAATATTAAAAGCTCAGTTTTCCGTGAACATGCAAAGAAAAATGAGCCTTATGTATTGGCAAAGTTGGTTGCTTTTCAACGTGAAAATTTGCAAAATGTACACTCGTTACTTTGCCAACGACATCTAAATCCAATATATTAAAATTAAAATAAATGGCTTGAAAAAAATATTTTAATTTTTATACTTGCAATGTTAAATTTAATGTTGTAAAAGATGATAATTTTTTTCGAAAATTATCTTTGGGAATAACGAAAAAAAATCAAAAAAGTAAATATTTAATAAAAAAATATTCAGTTTTGCCAACATTGTTTTAAATATATGTTATAAAAGATTTTTAAAAATTATATTTAATTAAAGCACATTTATTGCTTTATGATTTTATTAAACAATATTATTAAGTTTATGACAAAATTTTGTATTAAAATATAATTAGAATCCTATAATTAAAAAATTAAAATATTTTCTATTGAAGGTTTCTACTTTATCCGAAAAATATTGAGTTTCGAATTCCTTGAGAAAGTTGCCTGTTTACATTTTGCATGTAACTGTTTTATTGTATATGTCAGTTTCTAAGAAATTCTATACACATTATAGGATACATTTAATCTAATTAATTTCTTGTCAAAAAATTAAGAAAATTTTATTAACTATTAAACGAAAAAAACTTACATTACAGATGTCACTGTTGAAAAAGTAAATAGCAAGAGAAACAAATTTTGTTTTTAAATATTAATTTAGTTTTTTTTATGATGTAATCTTATAAGCCGAAAGAATAGAATTTTTTTATTTTTCATTTATTTCCAAAAGACACAGATTGAATTCTCAAAACTTGATACGTAAAAAAATCGTATAACGTTTATACCGTACATTCATTAAATTTAAATGAGAAAAATTAAACACTGCGCGAGAACGGGAGTAGTGGCGAGACACGAACTACAGTCGACTGAATAATGAGCTATAGCAAATATAAAGTCAGCTGTGTTCGCGACCTTCAGCTCAGCGTCGTATATTGAATTCTTAGGGGCCCTTTATAAATATTAAAATTTACATTTGCTAACCGTTATTAATTAGTTAAATGTTAATGTTTATAATGTATTTTTTTTAATAAAAATTTAAAAAAATTATAACAAAAAACATAAATAAAACATTTCCCAATTAATAATGTTAGACAAATAATTCTGTACTTTGAAAAGTAGAATTAAAAAAGACAAAAATATAAATTTGCTATGGAAATAATTGGGGCGATTTCACATTCCCAGGATTAGACTGTACACTTGAGAATTCTACCTTTTAAGTTGTACATTTTTTACTGTACAATAACATATATCAATGTTAGACTACACATTTAAAATTGAACACTCCTGTATTTTTCTCCTTTTCATTTGTTTAACTTTGTTAAATTGTCATCCACATAATTTTACACAGACTAAAATACATACAAAAAATTGAATAAATAATTTTCGAATCCTACACCATTAAATTAGTAAAAGTCAAATTGTACACAAGATAATATTAAAATTTAATAATTTTAAACTCTACACGAACAATTCTAAACATTTTTCTTAATATCATATTGTTAAGTTGTACATAAATCAATTCTACAAAAACGAGACTACATAAAAAAAATGAATAAAAAAATTGAACATTCTACACTGTTAAAGTATGTACCATCAAACTCTACATAAAAGAAAAATTAAAGTAATAATTTTAAATTCTACACGAATTAATTATACATTTTTATTTTTTTATTTTTCATTCAATTATACACTGTTTATTTCAATACAATGTAAATAGCGTACCATAATTTTAATACAAAATAATAAAACTTTATACGGTTAAAATGTACACCATTTACTTCCACACAGAGGTAAGGTAAGTGAATAAAAGAAATTACATAAAAAATTAGCAAACTGTACACTATTAAACTATATAATGTTAGATTCTCTTAACAACAATGACCTTAATACTGTCTGTTTTCAAATGTTTTATTGTTATCTATTGTTAATCGACAATGCGTACCTCGGCGTCAAATCTCCTGCTTGACATAACATTGAGCTAAACAGTTAAAAGGAACCTTATGTCCGAAAAAATTGATTGTTTATTGTTTAACCCCTTAAGTACCGATGGCAAAGATTTTGGCCGTTAAATCTTTGCCATGGCAGTTAAGGGATTAATAATTATGTTGGATAAAATTTGTTTCTATCAGATGCACTAAACAAAGAACCAATTTTTTCAGATATAAAGTCCCTTTTAATTGTCCAGTTCATATTACCTTAATTTTCGTGAAATAAGCTGGACTATAGCGATACCCAAAGGGCCACCTACACTACCGTCCGCGAGTATCAGGACGCCCCTTTTTTCATGAGTAAAAAAAAGCTTAAATCGTAGAAAAGAAAGAGGAAAAAAATTTTTATAATTTTTTTCCACATAGCTGATGAAATTATGAAAAGTATGACACCGAATCGAAGAGGTTTAGTTAAGTTTTATGTGAGATATATAAAAAAATGTCGATTTTGCATGCATTTCTAATCTTTTTAATTTATCGGAAAATAATTAACGTTTTTAAACTTTCTTGTACTCATTTTGATCGTTATTTAATGAAAAATTTAAATAACCTACTGGTACCTTGATATTAATTTTTCCAAAAAAAATTTCAAACCGCGAAAATGGCATCTAAAAAATTCGAAAAATTAAAAGGCACTTTTCCAACAAAGAAATAATTTTTAAAATTCAAATAAATGAATAATCAAGAAGTTTTTACTAATTTTAATGTATGTTTTAAATGTACATATTTTATACTGACATTTTGGACACTTTAATACTCACGATAATTTTTTGAAATTTTTTATTATAACTTTCACGGTATCAAAAATTTTTTTGGAAAAATAAATATCAAGGTAATAGTAAGTTATTTAAATTTTGCATTAAATAACGATGAAAATGAATTCAAGAACTTTGAAAAAAATTTCATTAGTTTCAGAGTAATTTAAAAATTAAAAAAAGCATGCAAAATCGACATTTTTTTATATATCTCACATAAAACTTAACGAAACATCTTTGATCAGGTGTCATTCAGTTCATAATTTCATCAGCTTTTACGGAAAAAATATGAAAAATTTTTGTTGTTTCCATTTTCGACGTTTTAAGCTTTCTTTTCCTCATGAAAAAAGAAGCGTCCTGATACTCACGGACGGTACTGTATCTATACGTAGTAACTACGCTCAACGAAGCTTAATTATGGTGATCGCAAGCAACGGTACCTCATAGCCGACGCTTTTTATTATTATTCAAATGTGGAGCGGTTAAAAGGTCATTTTAATGTATAGAATAAGTAAATTAACAAATTCAAATTAATCATAATTAATAATGACAAATCAAATAAATTTTATTGTATTTTACTCAATTTTTTGTATTTTACTTCTCGTAAAATTCTTTTAAATAAAATACTTTAAATAAGTATTTATTTATTATTAAAATAAAATACTTTTACCCCCCCCCACAGCCCCCAACTCTTAGAGCTTACAATTTTTTATCTAGTGAGCTGCAATTTTGCATTCTTATGTATTTTCACAAGCAGATTATTGACAAAATATAGCGAATGAGATTACAGTTGATTTTCAAATTGATTTCTGTGGAAAACTCACAATTTTTATCAATTTTGCCAAAAATATGTGTATCCCCGCCTGGCGCTCACGTTTTTCGCCACAGAGAACTGAAAATTTGCATACTTTTCTGTTTTTAGTTCAGATTTCCGAAAAAATATAGCAAACATGATTGGAGTTGATTTTCATAACACATTCATAGAAATACTCGAAATTTTTGTCAATTTTTCTAAAAATTCGTGTGCCCTACCTCTTGCTTTCGCATTTTTTGACCAAATAAGTTCAATACTTGTACGATACCTTCGGCTTCAGTGTGAATTCATCTCGCACTTGTCCCATTTTTTGTTATAGCCACCTAAATTCAACGGAAATGATTTTCTCTTGATCTTTAAATTAAAAAATGACAAAATTTAAGTACAAAATTTGAGATTTATTTTGGAATAACTTCGAATATTCAGGCCAATTATATAATGTTTGTTCTCTTGTCTAGTGTTTAACGCTATGTTAGGGAATGTAACGTAACCGGCGGTTGCGAAATCTGTTATACTATATAAAGATAAGTTTATGTTCATTTATTTTTTTATAAATTAAAATTTTTCAGTCAGTTTTTATTGGGCATTAAGCAATATGTTGTCAAATACATAACTACATAGCAAAGATTTTAAAAAAATTTAATAAGATTTTTCGGACTAATATTTTTAAAATAATTACCAATTTTTGACCGGATACAAGTTTTTAATTCTAAAATTCTCAAATCAGAATTTTGTTGAAATAAAGTTTCTCTGTTTAATTTTATCAAATAAAATTTTCATAATGTAACACTATACTTACTGTTTTCCATAATATTCTTATTCTTGAAAATTATTCCTAATATTTGTTTTCGTAGTTTTCGTAAGAAAATATATTGGAAAGAAATTTTTATTTACAAAATTGATCATAAATTTACTATTATGCGGCAAAAGTCTTAATTTTTTTACAAACAAGAGCATTTTTGTTACGTAGTTTAATTTTTTAAATATCTTTAATAGCTTCAGTTTTTAATCTTTTTACATCATTCCATTATAGCTGAATTAATTGATCAACAATTTGTTTAACTAAATTATTTTTAATAATCTTTAATTTTTGAATAAACGTATTATTGTCCACTCTAAATTAAAAATTAACAATTTTCGCTATTACAGTGAAACATATTGCTATTCTATAGTGAAACCTATCGCTGTTATAGGTAAAATATCTTTCTTTGTAGATAAATAAAAACTGGAATGCTTGAAATTATTTATTTAAAGAAAATAATTATTTATTTGAAGTTATAAACGAAACATTTTAATTTATAATTAAGACAAGAAGCGTTAAATGAACATTTTTGAAAATTATAAAAAAATCATCTTCAATAGAAAACATGGATAATATCCCGTATATCGGCCCTGCACACGGGGCAAACATCCGAATTAAATAGTGGTCGGCAAGTATTACAGATACACAAATGTGCACATGGTAAAATCAAAAAGGATGGACCCGCATCTATGCAGATGCAACATCTACCTTGCTCCATATTTCTTACTACTTCCAGAGCATCTGAAAATGTTGTCAATTTTAAAAATAATATTAATAAATATATCCCACGTGAAAAAGTTCCACGGAAAGTGCCCCTGGAGATTCCGGTAGAAATTCCTTACAGAAATATTCTATGGAAATTCCTTATAGAATTTCCGTAAAATTTTGTATTAACTTTTCCGTAAAAAACACAATATTTCAAAGTAATTAAATAAAAATTATTGTTTGTAATAAACAAATTCACTTTCATTTTGATGTTATGTCATGTTCGACGACATAAAAAAATCGCGCTAAATTAAAAACTCGTCAAATCAATTAAAATAGTTTTTAATTTGTATTATTTTATAAGAATTTAAATGACACAAATGTAGTGAAAAAATATTTTTTTTAATTTATTCATATCATTTGTAATTTATATTTTATTATAATAATTTAAATGATACAAATAAATTTTAAAATATAATTTTTACACTACATTTGTGGCATTTTAATTATTATAAAATAATGCAAATTTAAAAACTATTTTATTTAATTTGAAGAATTTTAAATTTGACGCCATTTTTTATATGGCTGGCCATCATGCTTGTCAATTCAAATCAGATTTTCAGACGATCCTAACCAAAAAGTTTTGTTGTCTTCCGGGCACTGTGTTTATGTTTATTACAAACAATAATTTTTATTTAATTATACTGAATTAAAAGTAAAGTATTTACTCGGAAATGCCAATTCTGGGGCTTCATAGGGTTGAACCCTATTTCGCCCTGCACGTCTTTGTGGACCTATTTCTCGATTAAGCATACGAGCATCCACTAGGTCCCTTGGTCGTCCTCTACCTCTCGGTCGTCCTCTACCTCTCGGTTGTCCTCTACCTCTCGGTCGTCCACGATTAGGAGGTAATGGATCATCATGTGCTACGGGTTCAACTGGTGCTGCTGGTTCAACTGATGCTGCCTGTTCATCTTCACGAACTGCTTGTCGATTCATTCTTGCCTCAAGTGCATCCAAATCTGTTAAGTTAAAATGGATTTTTTATTTAAATTTTACAAAAAATTTTCATTATATTTTAGTTAATAAATTTAAGTATTTTAAGACTTTGGAGCCGCTGACTATAATAAACGTATTGTATGGTATAAATATAATTTATTTTATTAACTATGTTCTATATGTTTTCTTTTCAGAAATTTAAATAAAAATGTACAATGAAATTACCTGCAACATTTTCGTTCCGTTGTAGGATGTTCGGATCCACCAATTCTGGATCATCATTTATTAACAACTGTTCATGTCGAACTACAGGTGAGAAAAAAAACAACTATTATTGTTTTTATTATTATTTAAAAAATTTTATAAATCACTGAGAAAAGTTAGTTTGATAAAAACTATCAATTAAGTGATCAAATAAATTTTTTCATTAGTAAATAAATATAATTTCTACTTTCTTTGATGTGAGGTCTGACTTATAATAATGTAAAATGGATTATTTGCGTATCTATTTCGATTTAAGTCAATGCAATTGCACTGATTCATCAGTGTTTTTCACTTATTGTAATATTTAATTAAATATACAATCAAATGACTCCATAATTAGTTAGTTTCTTATATCTTTTAAGGACTCTATTTAAAACTTTTATTAAAGTTTTAAAATTAAATTATTTATTAAATTTTAAAAAATGAAAAATATTTTGGTATTTTTCATAAAAACATACTCTGGAAAATTTGTTGTTCATACTCCTGTCTTCGTTTAAAGGTTATGGCCGATCTTAAAAATTCTTCAATTGTTATTCTGTCGACATATTAATAGATTATTTATTCAAACTCAGTAAAACATATTATATAAGTAATTAATATATCTATATTAAAAAATCAAACTTTTGTCTGTACATTGCTTAGAATTTGGAAATTTATGCAAAATTCAATTTATCTTCATATCACATTTTTCAAAGTAAATTAAAAGTACCATCCTAAGGTATTACATATATGTACCTTTCCAGTTGCAGACTGTCTTGCAATTGTTGAATGTGCAAGTCGTCAAGAAGTGCACGAGATCGCCTGCGTCGTCGAACATTCAAATTCCCATGAAGATGTTCATAATCTAAATCTTGTTTGCTTGAAAATTCCTTCAATTTATCTAAAAATATAAAATCATTTATTTTTTACGATATTACAATATTATAAATTGAATAATAAATAATATTCAGATGTTCAGAAACTTTTTAAAAAAATTCAAGGACCATTCAAGATTTTTAAAGTTCAAAATAAATTTTTTAATAGTTTCCCTTTAACTTAGTAATTTCCAACCTATTTATACTAATACTTTATACATTAATTTTTAGCAACATTAAAGATAGTAGTTTTCAATTAATTATGCAATATTTATTTGTTACTTATCAACAGTTTTTGAAAAGTATGGCTCCCAACCCTAAAAAATACTCTGATTCATTATAAAATGATAAACGTTACACAAAAGAAATGCTTGCAATATATATTTTACAAAGAACTATATATTTGCAGGTTTTCAAGAAGTAAATTACTAGATGTGTACAAAAAAATTGAAAAGTCAAGCTGAGACATTTTTTCAAGCCAAGCTGAGTTCAAGCTTAATTAATGTATCTAGTACTCGATATTTTCTAGTACTCAAAATATTCCAGTAATTAAATAAATTTTAGTTTTTGATTGATTTCTAAGATTTAAATTTTTCGATATTAAGGATATCCCTGGGGCGTCTTATGGATATCGACCGACTTCCTGTGGTTGATATCCATCGCTGACAGTCCGTGGATATCCCTAGTATAGGACGTCCCAGAGATATCCTCAATATTCCAGTGATATGAGGGCATAATTTCACAGTAAAATTTTCAACTATTTTTCCACGTCTATATGAATTATTAATATTTTATTTAAAATTTTTTAAAAATTCAATTATTTTGTAAAATTTTTCTGAAATTATTTACGAAATTCAATATTTTAAATATAATATTATAATATTTTAATTATTTATAAACACTGTAATTAAATTTCTTCTAAGATTAAATTATTTTAAAAAATTGAATAAACTTTTCTTAAAAATATATTCTTTTTATAAATTAAGAAATAAATTTTTTTCTAAATTTTTAAAATTTATAATATTAAATGTTTTTTAAATTAACTAACGTTTGAAATTTTTATAAGTCTTCCAAAATTTAATTATATCTAAAACTTAAAAAAGAACTATTTGTATATTTAATTATTTTCGGTTTTTTTAACGTTTTCAATTGTAGCTAGAATACTCTGATTATTCTTGCATTTTTAGAGTAAAAATATGAAAATGTTCTAAATTATTATTATATTTGAAATGAGATCTCTCATTTAATTGTTACCAAGCAGCATGAAACCATTTCGGGTTGATCCTGCAAATCGTTGCTTTAAATTCATATTCAATGCCTCAATGTCATCGTTTTTTCTAATTGAGCAATTATAGGCACAGATAATTCCAGCACGAGGCGACCATTGTTGCCTCACGTGAAGAAGAAATTCCAGCACCCTTGGATGTTCGTTAGCTACAATATCAGCAACTGCTTCAATGAGTGCAAGTCCTTCGGCGAAACTGTTTGCTGGAATCAATGCAAGGCTCATGGACATCCACAAAATGTCCCGTGGAACTTCAATTAATTCCAGGCGTATCCATTTTCTGAGAATTAATTGAATGTACTGGAACCAGCTTCCTCTTTGAACAATACCCGGGATTAATTCATTCAGAGCAGATGGTGCCCCTGCTTCATAACCTCCAAGTACAGTGATTTGATTATTCAACATTTGTGGAGCTAGCTCCAAAATTCTACGCCATACAGCAATGTAAAGAGCTCTGGATTTGGAGTTAGAAAATACATAAACTGCTGGAAGTACCTACAGAAGCAATAAATAAATTAAATGTATGTAGAAATATCAACAAATTAATTCAATATTTTTTTTATTTATAATAATCTATTATTTCGATTTCGATATTATTTTATTTTACTTTTATTATTTTTATTTATTATGAAAATTATGTTTGATCTTACTATATTTCTATATAACACGTGTACACTGTAAAAGTGAGTGATCCTCGGATTTGAAACAGAAATCTACAACAGATGTTATTTTATATTATTTCACTATAATAATTTAATATTATAATGAAGTGCTTAATGGTTTTAATCTCAATCTCTGTTATTCCTAACTTTTTAATATATAAAAATTTTTAATTTAGAAAATCAATTTTTATTTTGCTGAAAATATTAAAATCTATAAAAAAGAAAAAAAATAAGCTCATAAATTCTTCAAGAATTTCATAGTAATTTTTTGAATATTTAATTATAACACAAATAATGTTTGTATAAAAGTAAGCTAAACTATTTTATTTTAATATAATTTAAATTTAATTATATTTAACTTTATTTTGATGACAAATTTTTTGCAAAAGAGCGATAAGTACTATATTCTAAAAAATAATTATTATTTTTACAATACACATGCAAACATTCCTACGAAATTACTCCTAGAAATTTCAAAATTTTCAATAGGAATTCTAATTTAAAATTCTTATTGCAATTATGATTTAAAATTCTAATAAGAATTATGATAACTTTTTTTATGCTTTTATATTTAATATAATAATAATTTTTCAAATTAAAATTTCCAATCTGAATTTTTAATCGAAATTCCTACTATAGAAATTAAGGATCAATTTTCTAAGATTATTTACATGTTAGAAATATGTCAAATTTCAATCTTTCTCTTTGTCAATTTTGAATTAAAATTTATTATGTATTTAGATACTATATTTACTTCAAAAGCACTGTCCATCGAAAATGTAGTTCCATTTTGAATAGCTGTCAGCATTGTATCGGATGCAAAAATTAATGCTGTTGAGCCATCTGTTCCAAAAACAGTTCCTCTAAATAATCCTTCAACAGATTCTAAATTTAAGTTCACGATTCTTTCTCCAAAAGTTTCGATGTCTTCTGGTACTGGTCCACGATGTAATGTCATTTGCTGAAACATCATCACCCGGACTGACTCAAAGCTAATTTGACGTGTGACTTCATCAGGAAAGCTAACCATATTATGAATTAATTTTTTAAATTAATTTATTTTAATTTTATGATATTGATTGAAATTAAAGAAAATATGTATTAATAATAAAATATTATTATTTATTATTAATTTATTTTTCATAACAATATAATAATTATATTATCAAATAAAAAAATTAATTTAAAAAAACTTACAAAAAATATTTGGTTCATATAATTTAAACAGCAATATTAATATCAATTTATTTATTTATTTATTTACCGTGCACATGCTTCATTGAAAACTCGTCTCAGGTCATTTGAACTTCTGGCATTCGCTGCTGTCTGTTTCAAAATAATTCTCAATCGTGCCAAATGAAACGCAAAAAAATTTGCCTCATGTAAATTATGAGCTTGACGAATCTCGAGATTCGCAGTAATTAAATTTTTTCGAATAAATCCTAAGCAATTTCTTCGAATGCAGCGATATTCCTGGTACTGTAGATTATGGGCACGATTGTGCCTATAATAAAAAAAGCCTTGATTGTAAAATTTCCAAGATCCATTTCTTTCTCCTTCAATGCGCATTATACTATTAACATCCTGTAGAGCTAATATTTCTTCAACCTCCATTCTGCAAATAATTTCAATTATGCATTTCTTGAAAAGATTACAAATAATTAAATATATTAATTTATGATAATTTAAAATTAATAATAATACGAAATTTTTTCATTTACTTTGCAATATTTATAAGTCAATGAGGTTTAATAGTCAAATTTACGACTAACTTTTCGAAAGAAAATCCAATTATTTTTTTAACAAATAGCTGAAAATTATTTTAGTGTTTAAACATTACTTTCTCAGTTTCGAAGTCAAATTGACATTTGTCTAATCTCTAGATATTTTGTTTATATAAACAATTGAAAATCACTAATTGATTTTTAAAAATTTGTTATTTCTTCATTTGAAAATTGAAGGTTTGTTTTTTATTCTTCAAATGCTGTATTGAGAAATTGTTTTTATTTTACAAATTATTAATTAAATAAATAATTGATATTTCTTATCACACATGAATTATCGAGAAATAAAAGAAAATCATTGTGTATTATTTGTTTAAATAATTTTTTTTCAAAAGTTGGACCAGAAAATTGACGAATAACCAAACGAATTTTTACATGTATTAAAGTAAACGAACAAAAAATTTCAATATTAAAAAGTTTAAATTATTTTTGAAATAACATATTTTAATTATTTAAACTTATCTAAAAAATGTTGAAATTAAACTTTTTTCCAGAATGGAGGCTGGAATTGCATTGCGAGAAGAAGAAAACAATATAACTCCTATAAGAGGAGTAAAAAATGATTCATTTAAATTCTACAATCAAGGTTTCTTTTATTATAAAGACACTTGCCCCCAAATGTATCCGTTTCAATATTATCGATGTATCCTGAAACGAACACGAAAGTGTACAGGATTAATTAGGCAAAACCTAATTACCGGAAATATAGATATTCGTAATGCTCACAATGCACATGCGGCCGATATTTTTGCATTTTCTTTGGCAGAATTAAAGCTTAGCTTGAAGATTCAAGCTTTGAATGCCAGAGGTACAAAATCTTTAAGACGAATATTTGATGAAACATGCATGAGGTATAAATAAATTATATTAATTATATTAATACTTTGATATATATATGTTATAATAATTTTCTAACTGCTACATAAATTTGAATCTTGATGTGAATAGTTTTCCTGATGCAGTCACATGTTGTATTAATTACGAATCAATGAGATTAATAATGTACAGGCAAATGATACTAAACCGTGGTCCAGTACCAGAAGACCTTCGAAGTTTCGGTGAAAGACTTGTTAATTTAAATTTGGAGTCTACTCAAGGGATATTCAAAGGAACTGTGGTTGGAACTGATGGTTCAGTCGCGTTAGTGTTCGCTACTGATAAGATGGTAAGGGCGTTTCAAGGTGCAACATCATTTTCAGTGGATGGAACCTTTGAAGTAAGTTTTCTCAATGAAAATTTTTATGCAGCTACGAGATGAGCTAAATTGGTAAAATTAAGCTATTTGATTTTCAATTGACATATTCGTTTTTAAATTCTCGAAAGCATAATAATAATAATTAATGTTAAACAAATACAATAAATAAAAATAATAAAAAGGTTAATATTTTACACAATATAAAGACAGATTTTATTCATTTGGATTCAAATTATTATTCACAGCATGCATGAATGTTTATAGCAATTCAATCAGAATAATAAAATTCTTTAAATATTATTATATTGCAGATTTCCCCATTAAGACCCAGAATTTCACAACTTTTTACAGTGCACATGCGTCATGCCGACGTAGTAAGATTTAAAATCAATTTTCTAATAAATAAAAATATTTTTTCCAGATATCATATTAGCTTGCGACAACCTTGCAGCAAACTTTTGCTGTAAGCTGTCAATGAAAGTTTTCTTGAAAGGTTTTCACTTGCTGATGTGTTTGGGTTAAATATCCATATTCTGATATTGAATATTTTCTTGTATTTATAGATATTTCCAGTATTTTGGGTTTTAACTACCTCAAAAACTACGGCTATGTATATTGCAATATGGCGAAAAATTTTGGAATTAGCTCCACAAATTTTAGAACATCAAATATCAGTACTTCTTGATTTTGAAGCAGCCATTCAATCCGCTATACGTGAATTATTTCCGAATGCCATTCTGAGAGGATGCTGGTTCCACTTCATGCAAGCGCTTCTGAGAAGATGGATGAGCCTGCTTTTAGCTCGAGCTCCACGGCACATTTTGTGGATGGCAATGAGCCTCGCATTGCTTCCAGCGGAAAGTTTTGCAGCAGGTCTTGAAGCAATTCAAGCAGCTGCCATTCTCATAGCCATCGAATATCCAAGGATACTTGAATTTGTGGCATACTTGAGACACCAATGGCTACCTAGAGCTTACATCGTCAGTGCGTACAGATGTCCAGTAAGAACGAACAATGAGGTGGAAGCTTTTAATAGACAGCTTGTAGAAAGATTTGGAGGATCGAAACGAAATGCTTTTACGTTCCTTGGTAAGTATGAAAATATAAAAATATGGATTTACACTATATCTAGACTTACATAATATGAAATAATCTCATTTCCTGATTAATATAATTGCATTCATTACTATTTATTCAAATCAAATAAACTGTACTTTAAAACAATAAGAAAAATCTTTATTTTAAAACATAGGCACTACTTGACCGAGTTAAAATATAATTGAGGGGCTTGTTAATAAAGAAATAATTTTAAATACAAAAGAAAATATTTCTTAAATTATGCTCATCCAAAAAATCACCTAACGTGACAAATGAAATAAAAATTTATTTAAAAATTTATAGAATTTCTGTTAATGGGTTACATACTTTTTTTTAGAAAAATATAATGAATTTTCAAAAAGTCTTTTAGATTATTTAATTTTTTAAAAATCAAATTTATTTTTATTATATTTATCAAGTAGTACATGTTTAGATGTAATTGAAAGTAATTTACCCTTAAAAAATATTGGCAATTGTAAAAACTGTGGACCTTACACCAAAAATTTTTTTTTCGATAAATCAGATAAAGTTTAATGAATATTAAAGAACAATAAAAATTTTATTAGTTAGTTACTTCGTCCTTAACCAAAGAAATTTTTTTAAAAAAATTTCGGTAAAAGGAAACTATTATTTCCCAGAAGATTATTTTTTGATACGAAGTAGATTAAATTTTTGTATACTGTGATTCTCTTTGGATAAAAAAATGTCATCCCACGAAATACTGTTTCTCAAAAAACAGAATTTTGAGCCTCTAAAAAAACGATTTGTCGGCATTTGTAGTACATATGTTTTAGTTTAATATATATGTTTAACAGTAATATATAATTGAATTTTTAATTCATTTCATTCTGTTTTTGTAAAAAAATCTTAAAAATGTTTTTTTTCGGTTTTTACAGTGGTCTAACTCCTTAATCAGCTTAAAATATTGTTTATCATATAAATTTTGATGACAAAATTAAAATACTTTCTGTAATTATAGATAGATTAAAGGAATACTTAAGTGGGCAAGATTTAGATTATGATCGCATGAACTCTGGTCACGATATTCGACGTGTTAGAAAATCTTATTCCATACTTGACGACTTACAGATTCAGAAATTGCAAGATAGTCTAGACCTCGGAAGGTATATTTGCAAGACAATTTCAAACTTCTTAATGTTATTTTTATATAAACGTGCATATTTAATTCATTAATATATTGATTTATTGAATATAAATGAGCAATTATTAATATATTGACAGGATAACGATAGCGGAATTTTTAAGATCAGCCTTAAGTTTCCAGCGAAGGCAACGATATGAGCAACACATGATCCGACGTATGTTTTTATGGAAAATATGAGATTATTTTCCTCCCTTTCAAAATCTGTAAAGTTACATAAAACTCTAAAAAGAGTAATAAAAAGAATGGTTAGAATATTAAACGAAATAACTTCTTTATAAAGTAAATTTACTTAATTTAAAATAAAATAATAAAGAGATGGGTTCATACATAGTCTACTTCACTATAAAAGTTTTTTTTATAGTGAAGTAGACTATATATGAACTCATCCTTATTAATTTCACTTTTTCTGATGAATTCATAACTAGATGCGCAATTTTATCCAATTTAAATTATTATAAAAATCAGACCTCACTTTGAAAATACAAGTTATACAATTATGAGGGAATATTTATTTGCTAATAAACTATTATTTTAAGCAATTACATTTTTATTAGCGTCTTGGATAATTTTACATTAATAAAAATTAATGATAATTACCTTTTGTTACCTATAGTTCAAGAAGACGAGGTTATAATTGATGATCCAGTGTTGGTAAATCCTAATGCTCTAGAACGGAACGAGAACGTACCAGGTAATATATTATGGTACATTTTCACATATTAAATTTCTAAGAAGAAAACCTATAGATAGAAAAGAGTTAAATAAGAAATTAAATTATTATATTTATACTGCACCATTGGTTGAATTTGTCTGAAATCAAAAATTAATGAATAGTAAAAAAAATTTAGTATAATATAATAATAAATAAAAAATTCATTTTACCGTAACAGATTTGAATGCACTTGAGGCAAGAATGAGACAGGTAGCACCAGCAGAACCCATAGCAAATGCGGAACCACGACCTCCCGGTCGTGGACGTCCGAGAGGTAGAGGACGACCGCAAGGTCGAGGGCGACCAAGAGGCCCGGCAGAACACCCAGAAAGAGGTCGAGGAAGGAGACATAGGCGACAAGAACTATATTAAGGCCGAGAACTTTCTTTGTCACTATAGAAGTATACTTTTCTATATATATATATATGCATATATTTGTATTTAACGGTGACTTAAAAAATGACATCCTCTCACCTCAGAAAAATTTTAAACAGTGAATATATAGATATACCTATAATGTCTATACTGTTCACTGTAAACATCTAGATATTAAAGCTGAACATATTTATCATTTAATATATAAATATAAATAAAGAAAATATAAATATAATATGAATATATATAAATATTAATATATATGAAGGCATGTGGATATTAATC